GTGTGTGTGTGTGTGTGTGTGTGTGTGTGTGTGTGTGTGTGTACGTATTCAATTTGATCAGCTGGAAATGGGATCTCCTCTCCTAGATGGGCAGTATCCGTGGATTCGCATTTTTGCTGCAGAGATCATTGAATTTACAATGTGCTTCTGCGTTGGGTAAGTGTATCTCTACTACTTTCCCTTAAATGGGGAGGCATATGCATTCGTTTGATTTCTATGCTGCCTGTGCAATGCATGGCCTGGTATTTATTCAATGCAGAGTGGTAGAGTGCTGACTGGAGAACGACAAATAAACAGCATAAATAAGAAATAATTCAAGAAGAGAGGTCTGATTTAACGACCCAGTAGTTAGATCAAGCACGAGATCCCTTCGTACCTAATCTAATGCGTCTCGGTGAAAAGGTCAATGAATCAGATACAAGGGACAACTAACGGAAGTAATGGAGATTCAAGTGGAATAGACGGTCGCGAGCCAAGCTACGGACTGTGCGTCAGAATTTGCAGAAACATGCAGTCAAGATCCCCGGGAAAGTGAGCGTCCCATCCTTAGTGTGCCCCCTCCTTCCAGCAAGACACAGAAATACTTGCAGTGGCTTGGCAGCAAGGGGGCTCTACTCGTTGGACCACGTCCCACTTGGTACCGAAAGGTCCCAGGTAGGCCGGTGACCCCATCCAGCCAAGAAGAGTCCCACTAAGAAGAGTCCCACTTTAGTCCGAAATCTATCCCTTCGGTAGTGAAAGAAAAAGACAAACTGCAGATGGTCCCTACTCAGCTACCATTCTGAAGGGAAGAACAAAAGCACTCTACAAAGATGTGCAAGGCTAATGAAGCTGCTTCCATCCATTCATCCATCAAGTGAGAGAGCAGTCCGCATACTCATGCACACAACAGCCAAGATCATAGATCCAGTATACCCCATCAGGCATGCAACACCATGCACACCACCATGGACATCCCTCAGTTACACGGCACTTACCTGTGTGGCCTGGACTCTGCGATGTAGTGTAACTCACACCCCTCACCAATATGTCCTCCTGACGCAACTGGCAACCTCTGCACTAGTGTCCTAGTAACCTAGGAGGGCCTTCTCTACACTAATGTACAACGCAGCATCCCACGTCGATGTTGAAGACCAATCAGCAACTTGCAGTCCTTTGGTGCACCCATGGCTACTTCCCCCAAGCTCGCCTCTCTGAGAGAAGCCCAAAAGCCGCTCAACATCTTCCCCCAAGCTTGCCTCTTGGAGAGAAGCCCAAAAGTTGCTCCATGTCTTCCTCAAGCTTAGATTCTAGGTGTGAGTGCCTCTCACTCTCTCCTTTCCCAAATCACTCCAGTGGGTCATCCCTAGTGTCTCGCCACCCCATTTATATACTCCAGCAACCTAGCCGGGTCATGTGTCGACCCTACAAGACCCGGGCTAGGTGGGGGCATCTTCACTTACCTTGCCACCCCACTTTCCTTACTAACCTGCCGTAATCCGAGATTAAGTAGCCCCAACTATCTCGGATTAGGGTGAGGCCACCAAGGCTTTCTCTCGCCAGCACTCTGCTACCAATTGTTGTGACCCTGGCTATTTTGGAGTGCGACAACACAAAGAAAGACAAGTCGCTCAATTGCAACTGATGTTATGATGCTGGCCAATTTCGAAGTACACAATGGCTGATCCAGAATCAATGTCTGAGTCCCTCTTCTACTGCAGGTATCACTTGAGGTCCACCATAGCCATGGCCGCCGCTCTCTCTCTCTTCCTCATGGGCCGAGGCTATGGCGGACTACCAGGGCATCGCCCTGCTGTCCAAAGGACAACACAAAGCAGCTATGGCTGCTCTAGCTCAGGCCGCCATGCCTGACTCTGCCTCGAAGCTTCTTGGTGTAGCTCTGCCCCAACTGGGCCTTCGTGCTGCAGCACCCACCAAGGTGATGAAGACGGCAACCACCATAGCCAGGTAAGTACCTCTGGCGCTCCTCTTCGTAGTCCTGGTCTTCTTCCTCCTCCGTGTCCTTTCTCCTTCCCCAGCAGCGCTGCGCTGAGTGCTAGCGCTGCTCCAGCCTGCGCTCCAACCAGTGTCTCGCCAAACTTTCACACCGACAATGAGGAGGGGAACCTGGTTCCTCCTGGAGATATAGCGGCCTGCTTGCCCCCTGGGCGATGACTTCCTAGGCCGCGCGGCCTCCAAGCAACCGGTGCCTCCTCCCTTTCGGAGGGAAACATCATTGCGGACTCTGATATTGCCCGTACAGGCTCTAGACTCGGACTGATCGGACTGGTACCCGCCTAGACCTAGCCTACAACTACTGGGCCTCTAAAAATGCCAACTTTTGTCCTCTTCAGCTCGGCCTCGAGTACCCGGCACATCTATCTCTACCTGGTGTGGTACCAGCCTACCTGCTACTTGAGTGTTTTCCGCTGCTTCAAGTGTCGCAGGCCTCTTTCCCCGCCACTTGAGTGTTTTCCCCCGCTGCAATCCTCAGTGTCACGGCCACAGGTAAGTACCGGCCCTTCAGGCCGATTGAACGAACAAGTGCCCTTGCGGGTCACACACTCACTCAAGCCGACAAGCACTCAGACAGACATGCAGACCAGCAAGCGTGCACACACACAGACTTAGAGAACTCAGTAACAAGCGGGAAATTCAGCAAGGCATTCATTACTCAGAAATCATCTGTGTGTCTCAGTCCGTGTTTGGTCAGGTCATTACACTGAAATGAAAGCACTTGGAAAGAGAGATAGATAAAGAAAGAAGAGGACATAAGGATGGGAGATCCCAACCTCTTCTTTTCAATAAATAATAATAATAACAATGCAAAACAGAACCACAACCGATGTCTGAGTCTCCTCCTTACTCCCAGCAACACATGAGGTCCACCATAGCCATGACCTACACCTTCTACTACGTCCTCCTAGTAGATGGCTATGGCGGATTAGCGGAGCCCTGCTCCGATGTTCGAAGGACAGCGCAAAGCTGATGTGTCCTGTCTACTATGGCCGCTATGCCCATATCCGCCCCGAAGTCTTACTCAATGAAGTCTGCTCCCTGTGGGGGCTTCCAGGTGCAGTGCCAACCGAGAAGATGAAAATGTCATCCACCATAGCCAGGTAAGCACCCCCGTCACTCTCCTCCTGCTCACCTTTTTTCTCCTCCTCCTCCTCCTCCTCCTCCTCCTCCTCCCTACATCCCGGAGCCTGCTTTCCTGGTCCGCTCCCCCCTCTAGCTGATTGGAGGGGCCAGGCTACCATCTTCCTCCCCAGCACTGGACTGGCCAAGCGCTCGCTCCAGCAGTGTGACGCCAAAGTTGCCCCACCACAAAATGTGGAGGAGCACTTTGCTCCTCCGGAAGATCTATCATGGTGCCTTTCCAGGCCGCTTGGCCTCCCAAGCTACTGGTACCTTCCTCCTTTCCTTTCGGAGGGAAACATCATTGCAGGTCTGATATCCTTCGCTACAGGCCCTAGACTCAGACTACTGGACCGGTACCCGCCTAAGCATACCGGACTCTAAAATTCGCTCGGCCTGTACAGGTACTGACTTTTTGTCTTTTTCTGCCTACCTACCCGCTACTCAAGTGTTTTCCAACCTACGCAGGTGTAGCCTATGTGCTACTTTACTGTTTTCCATCGACACGGGCCTAGCCTACTGCTACACCCCGCTGCAACCCGCAAAGCCACGGCCACAGCAAAGTAGCAGGTCCGAGGGCCTTCCAAGCACACAAGTACCCTGGCAGGTCTCACACACACACCCACGCAGTCATTCACCCAGACAAACACACTGAAACTCAGCAAGCACGCACACACGCAATCTCAGCAAGTCAGAAACAGCGAGTTCTCAGGCTGTGATTTTGCAGGTCATTGCAGTACACTTCTTTACTTGTACTACTTTGTTTACACCACCACTACCTCCGAGCCTGTTTTTGCCGACCCTGAAGTTCACTGCCCACCGAGTTTTGCCGAGCCTAGGTCCCGTTTCAATTTTTGTTTTGGTATTCTTGCGAAAAAGCAATAAAAAAGAGGTCAGTGATGCATTCAAAAACGAAAAGATGCTCGACGAAATCCATAAACGAGTGCAAGGAAAATGAGCAGTAGCGAGATGGCAATATCCAGAATGCACAATCACATTGAAAGCCAGAAAGTATCACAGTGTCCAGAAAGCAGCATTGCATCAATATGACACCAATGGAGAATCGTAACACTGACAACCAATGTCGATGAAAGCTTGCTCTCGCCACCACCAACACAGACTCCAGGACCTTCTCCCTACTTGGCGCTCGGTGCCCAGCCTACTTCCTACACAGCTACAATCTTCCTACTAATTGACAATGCAACTGTTGACGTCAGCAGCCCACGAAGTACTTGAAGATGTCGCCCAATGCAGACCATCGCCAATACCAGGTATGTGCCCTCACATCATCATCATCATCATCATCATCCTTCTCTCTCTCCCTCGACTTACACCCACGTCTTCCCTCTGTACACCCGAAGATCACCCCTGCGCCTCACTGTATCTCCAAGCCCTCAGCCAGCTATGGAGGCTGGGCTGTGGTGCTGCCTTCAGCAGCGCCCTGCTTCACCACACGACCGCATGTGCGCAGCACCTTGCTCCAGCGCTAGCAGCCCGCACGCGAGCGATAGCTCCAGCAGCGCTGCCACCAGCCAGCAAGTGCCTGAATGAGAGCCCAGGCAGCGAGCTCTTTCCTATATGGAAAGAGCCTGCCTGCCCTGGCGGCCTGGCTGGCCTGGGCCTCTGCCCAGAAACTTCCGGTAGGCCCCACGAGGCTGTGCCTCTGTTACAGCTGCTGGGCCTCGTTCGGTTGAGCCTCCCAACTGTCTGTGTATGAGGCTGCGATTCTTGCCCAGGGCCTGCATTTTAGGAAAGGCTTGGAAGGCCGTAGAAATGTCTTTGCTGCTCGGCCTGTGTTTTCCTCAACCAACTGGCGCGTCATAACTGCCTGGACCCCAAATACGAAATTGACAGCAGAGGGCCTCTCGCGATTTGTTAGGCCCGCCTTCACTTAGGGCGGGCACTTCTGTAACAGGGCCCTTAGGCCTGCCGCACGAGTTGCTTTTTCGAAAAAATAAAATAAAATCCATGAACAAAAAATAAAACCAAGGGAACAACTATGGGGACGTGATAGCAAGTAGATTCCATAAGTTGAGAAATTGTGTGAGTGTGCCCTCAGTGAAGGCACGGCGCATTCAGGTCCGCGAACGAGCAAAAAAGGAAAAAAGTGCAACTAGCCTAAGGACAGGATAAAGGGCAGATACAACAGCATCATGACCAGTAGTGTGTGTGTGTGTGTGCCCTCCCTGAGAAAGTGTCAGGGCCTGTGGAATGCGGCCCGCCTCACTTCTTTCTTTTTCTTTTTTTCTTTTTTAACAAAACGATTTTTTTATTATATAGCCGGGAAACGGGCCCAGCGTCCCTTACATCATTTCAGTGGTCCCATTTAAGGGTGAGACATCATCGGTCAAACCCTAAAACTGGACCACTCCCCACTGCGAATTTCAATATTCCTGCAATTTCCCGGTTTTTCAAAAGGAAAACAAACCCTAATTATCATAATCCCGGAACTATCTTCCCTCCATTTAACCATTCTTGTCTAAAACAAAATTAAACAAACCCTAAACAGCGTTATATTTCTTATACTGCTAAACAGCGTTATATTTCTTGTACTGCTAAAAAACTCCCAACAAACTAACAACGCTCTTAAAGCCCCCAACAAACTAACAAGGCTCTACCACCATGGAATCCCAAGAGGATCCTACAAACACGACACACCAAAACCTATCTAATGTCAACAACAACGCAGAACCATTCGTCTAAAGCGAAGAATCAAGCGGTGCCCATCTATAAAAATAACCAACGTGCAAACAGGACCGCTCCATATTTCATATACCGCTATAAAGCTCCAAACAAACTGACAAAGCTGTACCACCATGGAATCCCAAGAGGATCCTTTTTCCACTACTAGAGGGGGTGGTAAGAGCAGCCTCCTCTAGTAGCTATCCCTGGTTGCTCCGTCTATTGGTCGGGATCTTCACCTGCTGGAAACCTGGTCCAGCATCACCCAAAACCTATCTAATATCAACAACAACACAGTGACTGAGCCATTCATCTAAAACGACGAATCGAGCGGTGCTCATCTATCAAAATAGCCAACGTGCAAACAGCACCGCTCCTCCGCTTCACCAGCTTCAACAAACGAGGCTACAAAGGCTGCTCCAGGCTGCTCCAGCCCACCCGAAAGCAGAATAACTCTGTGTAAACTCCTCAGCTGTCACCGCCCGCTGGGCAGATACACCAAATCGCCGCAGGCCGCCCCCAACTCAGCACGGACGCGTTATCCCTACGGCATCTCCGTATCGAAGACCGGAGGGCAAGCCCCCGATCGGTTTCATAAGGTATGGTGGCGGCGTCCAGATCCCACCCTCCAGCTGTCCCCACATCTCCTCTCTCTCCATCCTCAGCTTGGCAGGGATTCCTGACGCATATTCAACCGAAACAAGTGTTTGGCCAAGAACTTTTCAGATTCCTTTGGCATGCCCCACATGTGCCCGCGCACCTCTCCACGCACCGCCATGGCCACACTCACGCCAGGTTTTGGCAACAGATTTCGTCAACCGCGAACGCGAGCCCCCAGCGCCCAAACACCGCCCAGGGAAACGCGTTAGCGCTGCGGTATGCACGCCTTTTTGACACAAAACAACTTCGTTCGAATGTCTATGGCACATACTCTTTTTCTTTTCTTTGTTGAAGGGACTAACCTCAAAAAAAAAAAAAAAAAAAAAAAAAAACTCTAACATGATTGGATTCCTCTGATTCCACCAGGACTTCAACTCGTCACCTGGTTATCATGGAATTATTAACAGCATGTATGTAGTACCATCCAGCCTACCGTCTTCACCCGAATAGAACACCCGCCGTATCTGGGCTGAAAGTTGTGTAAGTACAGCTATAATGACTGGGCGTTCTATTCGGGTGAAAACGGCAGGAAGTTACGGTTCTGCACGGACGGGCCTCTGACGGGGCTCTGAGTCCTCGGCAGGGTAGGATCACCTGGCTGTGCTTGGCCTTGGGGACTGGGTCCCGTATAATAAGTTATTCTTTTGGGAAAGAAAAAAGGTAGTACGACGCAACCTCATGGGCTGGTTGCTCATGACCTGCATTTATTAAACCACCAGTATTTCCAGAAGTGGAGAAGCGCATGCAGGCAACCATTGCAGCAGTGCCGCGACATTTCCGCTTGAACGAATGATTTTCTCTATTATTATTATTTTTTTGCTTGAATGAATTTATGCCAGTGCCCTAGGCCCATTCATCCCAGCACGTCGCAGCACGCATGCGGCAGCAACTTCCGAAAGCAGTTATATGTGTTGTTCTTTTTTTTTTTTTTTTTTATTTGTGTAGTAGTGTGTACCCTTCAGTTTGGGCCTCGCTCCACTACACAACACTCTACATGAATTTGGACGCTTCCCTGACCAAGTGCATTCGGACAAGTCCAATGTTTTGAATGTACGCACAGAAAGCGACCAGATGCATGTAGAGTGTTGTGCAGTGGAGCGAGGCCCTTTATATCACGTGCAGACAGATGCAGTTGTTTACTGTCTACGGACATACTCACACTCGGGACTTTTTTCTTCTAAGCTGTGGACGTGATTGCCGTCAGATTCATCCACTTCTAGCCAAATTTGTGGTCAGATACATTTAGGAAAGTCCTGGTAGTGTTGGTATGGCCTTTGTTAATATCCTCTGCCTTAGGACAGGCTCACACTAGGACTTTTTCTTCTAAGTTGTGGCCGTGATTGCTGTCAGGTTCATACAGGTCTAGCCAAAATTGCGGTCAGATACATTTAGGAAAGTTTCTAGTGTGGGTAGATGCTTAGTCAATTTCGTCCTGCTTTTTATCTCATGCTGTTCGTCTCTGCCTTTGCCCCCCCCCTTTTTTTTTTTTTTTTGAGGTTTGCTCTTCATCTAATGGTACCTGTTGTATGTGCCTCCTGTCTCTTTTTTTTTTACTTTTCTTTTTTTCCTTTTTGTCTCTTTTTTTGAATGCAGATTCATTTTCCGCTTACGCTCCCCAAACATTTATAATTCATTTCTTATCAATGGGAGTCCATCTGCCAGTCTTCTGTCTGCTGGACTACAAGGACGATTCCTTCGGCCCACTGCTCACAGAGATGCGGTCCACCCTATGCCTGTGGTAAGTGCATTAAATAATTTAGACTTTAAATACAAATTAAAATTATTAAATCAATTTAATAAATCAATCATGAAGATGAAGTGGTGCTGTTTACCTTCTTTTTCCCCAATACTCTTAAAGAAAATCTCGGGTCTTCCGTGCCATGCATGACGCCGCTGCCAATGCTTGGAAAACCGTTGTTGGGTGCATGCCAGCCCAACGTATTGCTGGCCTTTTTTTTTTTTCTTCTTAATAAAAGTGCATCATTTCATTTCACATGGAAAAGAGAGGTTGGGAATTCCTCACAAACAAACGGGAAAGTACTGGAGTTTAACCCTAACGTAGACCCTAAACCTGCAGATTCTCCGTGGACTNACCCTAAACCTGCAGATTCTCCGTGGACTGTACAGTAGGCCGAGGGTTCTCTCCTCATGCCTGGGGAAAAGAGAGGTTGGGAATTCCTCACAAACCCTAAACCTGCAGATTCTCAGTGGACTGTACAGTAGGCCGAGGGTGAAGCGTGGGCCTCGCCATGGTGTAGAAGCTGCTTTAGGGTTTAACCCTAACGTAGACCATGGCTGGGGTTCTCTCCTCATGCCTGGGGTTAAACCCTAAAGCAGCGGAAAATGGTGTAGAAGCTCGGCTGCTTTAGGGATTAACCCTAACGTAGACCAAGGTGACGCGCACTGAGCGCTCCGGCACCGCCGCTACGCCAGTCGGCCGCTGCCTTGCTGTCCCTTACCTCGTTAAAACAAGCGTTCTTGCTGGCCTTTTTTTTGTGGTTGCCGTTTCCCGTTTCAGGTTTCGCACAGGCCGTGCCCCGGCCTTTGGTGTCAGAGCCACCTCTGTCTGCTGCCACATGTCACTTGCCTGCGAGAGATCAGTGTGCGGCGTGTCCAATAACCTTCTAGGGGTCCGACGCAGGTGCTACCCCTGAATCAAAGGGGTGATTGAGTTCGACGACCTGGTGGTGAGCCGCACTGGGCAGCAGACGTCGGAAAGTTTCCTTTGTAAGCCTGTCATGAACTATAATGCCCTTAATTCTCAGCGTCTCCTCCCATCACCCATTCTTGTCCGACTGCATTCTTTCCGATTCCACCACCCTTTTTTATATCTCCACTGCCCAAGTCTGTTCTGAAATTGGATGTTGCTCCATCCTCCTTTCTGTTTCCTCCACCAGCTTCCTACACTGCTCTTCCTCCTTATTTCTATCTCTGGCAAGGATGCGGGAGCACACACTCATCATGCCCGATATGGTTGCTATTCCTCCTTCTAGCCAATCCGCTGCGGACGAATGGTATCTTTTGTCAACCTCCAGGCCTCCATGTGATCATGTACCCAACCCTTCAGGCCCGGATCCTCCAAGTTTAACGAGTTTAACTTGAAAAATCCTCTGCCCCTTTCTCCCGGAACGTCTGCTATCAAGTCAGCTATCACCGGCTTATGGTCCGAGAGCGGGTGAGACTGCTTTTTAACCGCTGTGACCTGTTGGTGAATCGATTTTGACACGAAGAAGTAGTCAAGTCGGCGCCTTGTCCCCTCTCTCCTATCCCTCCTGGGGTTCGAATACCAAGTAAAACCCGAGGAGTCCGGATTGGATCGGTCAGGTCAGAGGTTTGCATCACCTCAAGGAGAGCTTGTGCATTCGTTCTACCCGCTGTACGTGAACCTTGTACCATCGCCTCATCCAGGGAGACATTTCAGTCACCTGCAATGATCGTGTGACTTGCTATTGGTATCTTACCAGCTAGGTTCTGCAAAAATTCCACCCTTGGACGCAGGTCTGAAGGGGCGTAAACCGTCATCAACAGCCAATCTTCATGTCCCACTTGAAGAAGATCCAAGCCCACCTACCCCACAGGTCCACTTCTGCATCAATCAATTGAGCTTTCTCCTCGAATAACCATGACTTGATCCTCCTCCTCTTCCGTCTATCCATCAGATTTCCCATCCCTCTGACATTCCAAGTAGCTAGTTTGATTCTAACTGTAAGGGGAATTACCCTCTACTTGACCTTGGATACGGTTTGCAGGGAGAACAGACTCATCCCCCCAATGGGCATTACCCTCCGAGGGGGTGCGAGCCATCGGGCTGTCCCTCGACGACTCACCTGACTCTACTGATCTCACATACGACCTCCATGGCATCGTCAGGGAATCCCGTACGAATGGAGAATGTAAATTCTCTGAATCCGCCAACTTCTCATTCACATGCAGGAGAACCAGGGCTGTCACCCCTGGGGCGATTGCGATTGTCTCCAGCCATTCCTATTGGCAAGAAGATTACGGAGATGCTACCCGGAACCATAGATCGCAGGGACAAGGCAGCACGGGGCCAGGGGAGACAATCAGGAGGCTCTGGTCTGGAGGAGTAGGGACGCTTGGAGGGAGAAGAGAGAGGAGTTGGTTGCCAGCTGGGGGTGCGCAGGGCGGGGAGGGTTCTGCCCTCTCAGTATCGTCAGAGTCACGGGTTGGTAGGGAGTGAGGTGATGGGGGATGAACTCCTAGGGTCAGGGCAGAGGGAGCCGGAGCCGGAACACTCAGAATCTTCCACGGGCAGTTCAGGGGCATCACACAGAAGGCACGCTCCACCATCGGACACGCAGAGCAAGCTAGAGTACAGGGAGAACCATGGGGCCAAGTCCTCGGCAATCAGACACCAGGACAGAGGAAGAGTGGAGAGGAGAATGGTACCGGTAGTGTGCACGGTTACGGAGGCTGGCGTCTTCTTTCTAGGAATGATAAACGCTGAGGGTCGTCCATATCTTCCATCTGAAGAGATGGGTAGGACACCTTTACCAGTGGAGATTGTTGCACTTACCAAGAACTTGTATGGGGATACTTTCCCCTTCAGGTTGATTCCGAGATCAACAATGACAAGCGTGATCGGGTGAGGATGGAGACACAGATCGTAATCATGCGAATGAAAGGTATGGCCCGGGTCCGAGACTCCAGGGGGACACGTGCAAGAAGGAGAGTGGCAAGCAGTCTGTTGAACGTTCTGATGGGGTCTTTGGGACATGGGTAACTGTGTCTGATAAGTCTGGGGGTCGGGGTTCTGATGACCCATCCAGTGTGCAGGTTGTGACCACGGAGGCAAGGGAAGAGGTGGATGCAATTGCAGATGGTGCGGGTTCAGGTGGTTCGCAAGATAGGGCTGTACACAACCCGGGTGGGGAGGTCGGTAGCCAGGTGTCTGCGCACCCGAGATTGACACCTGGCGATTTATGTGTAACAGAGCTTGCTCCCTGGCCTTGAGACCTCCCATCCGGGGATCGTAACCACCCTGCATGGGGGGGAGTCTTCCCATCTGAGCCGTTTGCGGTCTGCCTTCCTGACGGCTTGAGTGCTCCTGTCTACCTTGTGATCCTGCAGGTACTGATCCTGGCACTTGGTGTGTCCTTTCGGTCCTTGTGAACTCTGCAGCCGGGGGTACCGGACCTCCATCCTGTCCCTGGGCCGGGTTACTTTGCACCGCTGGCGCCTCTTGGCTTGGGGCTGGCCTGTTCTGTCGTGGGAGCCGCGAGTTCGTCCACTGCCTCGTCAAACGTTCCCCCTGTGTTGACCTAGGGCATCTTGAAAATACCATCGGCAACGTCGACACCACTCTGTGTACGGGGTGGCTACCTCCACCTTCCAGATCTCTCCTTTCCAAGCCTCCACAACCAAGGTGTTTTCCACACGGAATCTAGCTTGCGGATCCATGTCAAACTTTACATCCATCGACTTCGGCCGCGAGCGATCCACTTCCGGTGGGTGCATGTGTTTTACTCCCCCAATAACCTTCAACCGCCAATGCCAAGTAGTAGAAGGCTTCCAGAGGAACCCTAAGGGCCACTATCCAAAAATTGGTCTCGACGTCTTTTAACCTGAGCTCCTTCAGGTCTGACTTAGTCATCCATGATTTGAAGACCACTGGATAGTCCACCCCTCTGAGATTCCAACTCGTCGAGGCTTTCTGCACTATCCAAGCTGCTACTTCCGGCACCTTGGCTACATACGAAATTACATTCGCTCCTTCAAAGGTGGCCCTGCCTCTTCGCACTTCCGGAATAAAGAGTCTCCTCGCCATCCACCCATCCTCGTAGGCTCTTATCAGGTCCTCTTTAACCCCTCTCGTTAGACTCCGAGATTCATCCTGGAACACCACGATGACCGTCCTTTCTTTCAACCACCTTTCCTTGATCGCATCCACGCCACAGCTCCTGCCTTCCCTCCCCGATATCCAGATCCTCTACTCATAACCTCAATGTTTCCTCCAATCTCCACCGGTCGTCAAGATGGCCCGACAGCACAGTGGTTTGCGCTCCAGATTGCCGAATGGCACGATTTCTATCATTCACCGGGCCATATGTTGACGAAGCCGTGCTTAGTCCGGCTGACATCACCTTGACTTCACGTTGCTGAGGTGTACGCCTTCTGACAGTTGATGAGAAGCTGTACCTCTTCTTGCATATGCCTTCACCTATCCTTGTGTGACGGGGCGAAATCCTGTCCGATTCTTCGGAAATGCGTGAAGGACGCGTGTGAAGGGAGTCCCGCTCTCCGTCGGCGATGGCGGAGGTGGCGGCGAAGCAGTGGCATAGGTGCCCTAAGGTGGGCCCCCAGCCAGGCTCCGGTTCGGAACGGCGCAGCAATGCGCTAACCATCCAGCCGTGGCGCCCCCCCCTGGCCTTCATATTCAAATACAAGTGTGTAGGGAACTCCGGGCCCTTTAAGCCTCATTTATACCTCCCTTCTACTCCTCAATGGACGACGCTGAGAAACAAAGAAGAGCCCGGATTCGAGCTGCTTTTGGTGGGCACAGAAAAGCCTCATCAACCGGAGGGGGGGGGGGGGGGGGGGGAATCCAGGAGTTTCTATATGCCCAGGGTACTCCGGGTGGGTGTACGGCCAGGCGACCTGCACGGGTGCCCAGCCAGGCATGCACGGCCATGCCACCTGTATCCTAGCTAATGAGGGCGTGCTCACACTAGGACCACCTACTCAGCTCTGGATGTAATTGCAGTCAGATACACCTACAGCTGGTCATAATTGCAGTCAGATGCATCCTAAAAAGTCCTATTGTGATTATGCTCTGAGATACCAGTAACATAGTAAATATACCAATGATGCAAGGGACACTGCACTGCTGCACGGTACTAGCGGTGCATATGGGCATTTCGGAAGTCAGACTTCTCGAGAGAGACACGTGAGAGACTTACGTGCTCCTGACCGTTGACATCATCTATGCCTTTGTCCAGTCTGCATCGCCCGCCGCTGAGAGCTCCATCTTCCAGCGTGATAAAAAAAAAAAAAAAAAAAAAAGATACCAACTTTGAAGTTTGAACTTACCAATGAGTAAATAAAAACTTCTTCTGAAAATTTGATGATTGTGTTGGGGGCGTGGGGGGGAACACACACACAAACTTCTAATCTCACAGCTAGAGGGCAGCGCACACTCACAAAGAACTGAGTTTGCTCTTTGAATTTGTGAAAGGAAAAAAAAAAGCTACCACCAATCTCTAGTCTCTCAGTGAATGTCAACCCCCCCCCCCCCCCTCCCCTCCGTCTCATCACCACACCTGTGCTCAAGTTTCCTTTTTTTCCTTTTTTCTTTTTTTCTGTTTTCTTTTTCTTTTTTTTTCTTTTTTTTCTGTTTTTTAAATCCCAGGTTCTTGTAGAGGTACCGTGGGTGATCATTGGTTATATGCCAAGAGCTCTTCTAAATTATGTGGCCCAGTTATTGGCTGAGTGTTGAACCATCAGTACTCGGCATCTCTCCCAGCTATTTCGGTCCAATGGAGCGGTTAATTCGCTGTGCCCTTGGGGTCTCCGCCTACCGCAACTGCTTGGCTGGGAGCGGCAGCTGAACGAAAAGGATTGTGCTTTCTCCCGTTCGGCTTTCTTTTACGCACAGCACAAATCCGCCTCTGGAAAAAGGAGGCTCGTATGTCGTGTGGTGGTTTAAGAGAAAGAAAAACGGAACAAGGACCGACTGTGGTCTTGTTATCCTTAACCATGTGGTCAGATATGACATTACAAGTTGGCATGAAATGTTTACTCCACCCCTTTTCCTTTTTCTCTCTATTGCCTGTCTGCTTGCGTACACTGTGTGCAGCAGTCAGTTCCTCTGTGTTCAGAGCTTGGCGGGCGACTTCCGCCAGGTTTGGTGCTGATTGAGAATCCACCAAGCCAAGATGCGTCCGGGAAGCTTGTCCGAAGTATTTCAGTAGCCACAATTTCATTGCCGCAGACCCCAAGTGCCGCTGAAGAACCTCGTTCACATGACATCCAGCCATTGACACCCGATGTCCTGGTACCATTGACGAGGTCCAGAACGGGTACCCCGGTAAACCAAGGAACACCCCGACGCTTACAGTCCCCGCGTCTTCCTCATAGTCTGCAAAGCCCATCCGATGTTGATAGCAACAGATCGTCAGTGACTAGTGCATGCCAGCATGGTGAAGATGGACAAGGTGAGAGAGACCGGGAGGCACCAGCCGCCGACGCGATCGCTGGTGGTGCTGCCATCTTCGCGGCAGCGGTCACCGAAGCTGGTGCAACACCACATCGACACGGTCCACTTCACGAGTTCAACTCCTTGGGCGAGGCAGCTAGCCCACAAGCTTCTGAGAATAGCAACCAAACCCGATCGGCATCAGCCATGCATCCGGGCAGCAGGAGTCGGCGCGTAAGAGAGCAGGTCGGCCAACATGAGCAGACGGAGCAGCAGACAATTAGAAATCGGCGTAATGCAAGCAACCGGGATTTTTCGGTAGGGGGAGCCCCCTGGGATGGAAGGGGTGTTGACTTGAGCACTGCCCCCAACCCGGGAGCTCAGGACCCCTCAGCACTTATGCCTCGCTCTCCTCTGATTGGAGGTGAGAGCATGGTGGAGACCGTAGACTCCACGATCTGGGAAGACGAAGGGGAATCCAGCAGCAGCAGTCATCGCCGATACCTTCTGGAAGGGCATCGGCAACAGCTGCTTAGCCCTCCGAGTGTGCCAGGGTCAGTTAAGAACACCCCGCAAGGAAGGAAAAGAGACGGTCAGATCTAAAAGTCAGGAAAAAGTATGGCCTGGTCTAAAAGTTGGAACCTGCTGACTTCTAATCTATCGGAGAAGATCCAGGAGCTGACTGGTGCTTCGCCAGACAGGTCTGTAAGTCTTGCCCAGTACTCGTCCAATTTGTCAGATCTCGAGGAGCCAGCCGATCAGATCTGGAAGAGATCGTGGGTTCAAACTTCAAAATTCAAGTACTGATTGGATCAGATGAATACAAAGAATGTTAGGTGCTACCACCTTTGAAAAAAAAGGCAGGGCGGGAGGGGAGGGGAGGGGGCGGGATAAAGAGCTAGCCAGTACCCCGTCCGCTAGAGAAACGGTTGTTTACCTGCTGGCTGGCGAAAGCAAAACTGGTCAGTTGTGGGAAAGCCAGTACCACTCAGCTGGAGAGCGGGAGGATCACTACAGTCAAATCTGCCCGTCCAATGTACAAAACAGGAAAGATCCCAACGGCTGAACCAACCAACACGTCATTCTCAAGGAGTAGAAACAAAGTTTGGCAAACTGATGATGGACAGATCTGAAAAGGTTCAAAAACCGAGATCGACAAAAGGTCGGTGGGATCGGAAAAAGAGGGTCCATCATTGGCTCAAATCAAGGCCATTGAGGGGTAGATTGACCCCTCTTGACGTTCCGTTCCGACAGTGGGGGTAGGTTGAAATCGGATCGGTCACAGTGCGAACGAAACGTCAGATTTGAGAGGTCGACTGACACTCGTCGCGCTCGATGAAGGGATCGTCAGATGCGAAAGCGAAGGGCGACGCCTTTTAGATCAAAGAGGCTTGTGGCCCTTTCGATATTGGCAAGCTGCTGTTGAATGTGTTCGCACCTGTGGCATACGGTCCAGCTGAAGATGAGATGTGTTACTTCCGACCCAAATTCAGTTGCAGCTGAAGACTTATGCTCCAGCTGAAGGTGGTCTGCATTTACGACGTCGGAACTTGGCCATGTATTCACTGCCGATTCTGTGCCGAAAGGAATGTGTACCAGTTTAGCAATGGTTCTAGCTGAAGACCAGACTGAGTCATGTTCATTTATGTTCCAGATAAAGGACCAGCACATCTATGGTCCAGCTGATCTGTGGTCCAGCTGATCTACTCCAGCTCAAGACCAGCAGATTTAGTCCAGCGGAATCATGGCAAATATGTTACAGATGTGGCAGATAAAGATCAGCTTTGGTCCGGCTGGAGAAATAGAAAAAATTGGACCAGCTATGTTTCAGCTCAAAACCAGCCGTACTCCAGCGGAACACCGGATCTGAAGACGGTCTTTGGTCAAGCTGAAAACTCGCCGCATCCAGCTCAGGATTGGCCAGGTTGCAGCTGATGTGTGACTGTGTTACAGCCATATCAGTAGTGTTTTGGCTGAAGTGTGTTGGTATGGCAGCAGAAGTGTGGCCGTATTCTAGCTCAAGTGTGGCTGCTCCAGTTCGAACAGTTGTGTTCCAGCAAGTGTGGCCGTGTGTTCCAGACGAAAAGTGTGTTCCAGCTCGTGTGGCGGTGTTCAAGTTGGACCACATGTGTTCCAGCTGAAGTGTGGCTGTGTTCCAGCTGGAACGGATGTATTACTCAAAATCTTATGTGGTTGGAGCTCTATTCTCGCAGAATAACCACATCACAAGTAGGCGGCATCCGCACCACGGCATCCTGCTCAAGACGGGTCGATTACTGCCTGCGTAAAAAAAAAAAAAAAACCAGCAGCCCCGCTCAGTTGGTTGAGCACGCAAGTGGTATTCAGGAGGTTGTGGGTTCGATTCCTCACGTCATCCATTTGCACCCCCCCGACCCCCTGTGGCACACTTCAGGGTCACCACCTGAGATAGTTGGTTCGCCCCCTCTGGACTTGGTGGGGGAATAACTTCGCCCTGTCCATCCGCGCTAGGGGTTGGATTGGCTCAACCCTGAGGGGATAGGTAGGCTGGGAGAGATCGGGGAGGAAAGTGTCCCGTCGACCCATACTTTAGAATACCGCAAGGTTACGTAAGTAGATATGCATGAAGTCATGCCACTTCCTTGAGAGATACGAAGCTGATATGGGTCATGCCAGGTCCTTGAGAGATAAGACGCTGTTATGGGTTTGTTAGTGTGCTAGGTAGATAGGTGTGAGTTGGAAAAAAAGGCTTTGAGAGAAGAAAATAGCATAGTGGGTTCAGCTGTCCCTCATATGAGGAGGAGAGCTTTTTGTCTAAGGAAAAAAAAAAAAAAAAAAAAAGCTAACTGAGAAATCTAGAGTCTAGACCGATAAGGCCCAAGTGAGGAAACGTGGGCGCGACACTCTCTCGTGTTTGAGCAAAGATGGGCCTTGCTGCGCTACTCTCCGAATGTGCAAAATGAGAACGAATCTTCCGCTAAAACACGGAAAGATACACCGCCATATTTATTGTCTTTTGTGCATGTGGAGAGTAGTGCAGCGACGCCCTATGCCTGTTGAGGTCATCACTTTCGCCGCCTCGTTCCCAGTGCGGATGTCATCTGTTTCGTCCTATTAGCCCTGGCGCGTTTGTCTTGGTGTAGGCTTTTTTTTTT